GTCAAATTCCCATCTGAGGATATTGCCCCAAGGGCAGAAGACGAAGAGTTCGCAGTAGCGCTCGATTGAGAGGCAGTAGCGTTCTGAGTTAAAGGGCGCGGTCAAGAATTCTGTGGTCAATTCCAGATTCATAGTGCCATGGATCGGGAAATCTTACCTGAAGCGTGGTGTTGTCAGCTCCGCTTGCGCTCATAGATGATGTATCTCCTGTCATATTCCCACTCTGTGGCGAAAAAAGTCAGTTAGACAACATTTGTTGGATCAAAGAGGGCAAAACATACCTTGAGACTCTCAACTCGACTCTTTGATACATTTGCAGCTTTCTTCTCTTGCTCAATGCTTGATTTGACATCCTTTACATTTGCAGCCTCCTTGTCAACGATCTCCTGAGCTTTTTTAACCTTGGCCTCACTAGCTTTGTTTTTCTGTCAGATCATTAGGAATCAGTTTGTGTCATCTGAAATAAAGAGGAAAGGGGACACGTGTGCAGTAGGACGTACTTTGAGATTCGCTAGAACAGCCTCAGCTTTTTCTAAACCTTCCAGAAGACCTTTGAGCTTGATCTTCAACTCAATGATCGTTTGATTGGCAACAGCCACTTGGTGTTTGGCTTCCGCTAGCGCTTTCTTATGCTCGGTTGAAAGTGTGGTGTTGGTGATGCTGGAGTTCAAGCTAGGAGATGTGTTGTTCGTGATAATGGAAGAGTTGGACACAGTTGAATTCGCTGAGAGCGGGGCACCAGGAGACGCTTCGCTAGAATTGGTCGAGTTCAAGCCGGAGGCTGTGACATTTGACAAATTACCATTTGTGATTTGAACATCGGGGTAAGTGTTGTTGGAATTGGTCGAGTTGGAAGGGGAGGCTGTATCATTAGCTGAGATGTTAGACATTCCAGACGATGCGGTCAAGTTAGTCGGAAACGGGCTTGTGGTGTTCAAACTATCAGACGAGGTTGAATTGTTTGCCAGGCCGTCGGCACGAGTGTTGTTGGACTTGGTCGAGTTCAAAGCGGAGGTCAAATTGTTCGAATCAGGGTGATTGAGGGATGCATCATTAGCCAAAGATATGTTAGACATTCCAGATGATGCGGTCAGATTGGTTGGGAACAGGCTTGTAGAATTCGATGCCGTAGAGTTGTTAACGAGGCCACCAAGGGTGTTGTTAGTCTTACTCGAGTTGCCGGGGGCAGTCAAATTGTTTGAATCGGTGTAATTGTCCGACTTGCTGGTCGTATCATTGAGTAAGGACAAGTTTGGCATTCCACGGGATGCGGTTGAGTTGCTCGGTAGTAGGCTTGTGGCATTGTACTTATCAGATGCAGTTAAGTTTCCGGCACGAGTGTTGTTGGACTTGGTCAAGTTCAAGGCGGAGGTCATATTGTTTGAATCGGGGTAATTGAAGGATTCATTGCCCGAAGACATGTTAGGCATTGCAGATGATGCGGTCAAATTGGTTGGGAGCAAGCTTGTAGAATTCGATGCCGTAGAGTTGTTAACGAGGCCACCAAGGGTGTTGTTGGTCTTACTCGAGTTGCGAGCGGAGGTCAAATTGTTTGAACCGGTGTAATTGTCCGACTTGCTGGTTGTGTCATTGAGTAAGGATGAGTTAGGCATTCCACGGGATGCGGTTAAGTTACTCGGTAGCAGGCTTGTGGCATTGTACTTATCCGATGCAGTTGAGTTTCCGGCACGAGTGTTGTTTGACTTGGTCAAGTTCAAGGCGGAGGTCATATTGTTTGAATCAGGATAATTGAAGGATTCGTTGCCCAAAGACATGTTAGGCATTCCAGATGATGCGGTCAAATTGGTTGGGAGCAGGCTTGTAGAATTCGATGCCGTAGAGTTGTTAACGAGGCCACCAAGGGTTTTGTTGGTCTTACTCGACTTACCGGCGGAGGTCAAATTGTTTGAACCGGTGTAATTGTCCGACTTGCTGGCCGTATCATTGAGTAAGGACAAGTTAGGCATTCCACGGGATGCGGTCAAGTTGCTCGGGAGTGAGCTTGTGGCATTGGACGTATCCGATGCAGTTGCATTTTTGGCGAGACCGTCATCTTGAGTAAGGTTGGACTTGCTCGAATTCGAGGGGAAGGTCGTGTGATTTGACAGAGATGTGTTAGAAGATCCAGTCAGATTGCCAGGAAGCAAGCTCGTGTCATTCATGGTGTTGTTGGCGTGTTTAGCGTGATGGTGCTTGCTTGAGTTTGAGGCTGATTTGGTATCGTTGGATAATGACATGTTACCAATTCCCGAGGATTCTGTCAAGTTTGCCGGAAGTAGGCTAGTGTTGTTCAAAGTATCGGGCAAGGTTGAATTTACAGATGTGCTGTTTGACTTGCTCGAGTTCAAGGAAGAGTACGGTTTGTCCATAGAAGAGTTCAAGGAAGAATTCAATGATACCGAGCTATCAAGAGGGTTAGCTGATTGTGTCGCGTTTTTATGAGTATGGTTGCCTTTCTTGTGATCTTTAGATGAGATTGTGCTCGTGTCGTTTTGGGTTCCATTGAGTTCGGTGCTTGACCCATTCTTTGGTAAGATCGAAGAATAGTTTGACGCGCTTACATTGAGATCCGCGCCCTTCGGAGATATTTGGTCAGTCTACCGAGAGGTGGATAGTAGCTCTTTGAAATGAAACTCACTGAATAGTTGCTTGGCAAACTTGTGCTGTGGTTTTTTGCGAGAATATCTGTTTGAGAGCTCAAATTAGTTTCCCGCTGAATCTGAGAGTAGAATTGCGATCTCAACTAACCTGATTGATTCTTTTGATTGGTCGAACCAGTCATGTTGGCTGCGAGGTCTTGATCTTTGGTGGTCGAGTTTGACTATAAGGGAGGACAATGACAGTTTTGTGAGCGATATGCTCAAGAAGCCTGTTACCAGCGTAGCGAAACCTTACCTTTCCGGTTTTGTCGGTTGTGGCACCATGATGATGATCTATGATCCCGAGATGGTGATCAATATCAAATTTTTGTGGAATATGTTTCCTGCCACTCACCTTTCACGTCCGGGTTGTCATTTTTGTCCGCAGTAGTGTTTGAGACCTTAGTATAAGGGTTTGAAATGGAAGATGAGTTCATTTGGTTTTCGTCGCCCTTTTCGGCGGTAGACGCGTTGGTGGGGTGGGTCTTGTTGTGAGCGATCGAACCTGTGGTATCCAGATCGAAAGGTAAGTCTTGAAGCTCAAGTTTGTGTTGACTTGAACCGCTGGACTGCGATATTGCAAAAAGGCTTGAAATATAGGCTACGCACCAGTGTTATTCGAAACAGGATCTGCGGTCTGTCCACTCTTGTGTGTGGAGTTTTTTGTTGTGGCATTCAATGCTTCATGATCCGCATCCCGACGGAGAAGGACCTGTGAGCAGAGAGGTGTGGAAGAATTGTTGAGTCCTCAGTATAACAACACGGAGGGGAAGATGTGATGCTGACATTGTCTTCTTGAGGAGCAAGGTCTGGGACTACATCTCTGGAGTCTAAAGTATGCTTGTGATTCAAGTCTTCTGCGCTACCAGAAATCGCGAGAAGTAGATTTGAAGAGACGGCCAGGGAAACCAATTTAAAAAATGAAACCTTCATGATGCCCAAAAAAAACTGAAATGTATTGAATTTGTCTAAGAAAGATAGGATAAGATTCCTCGCGTGGTATGAAGGACTGGAAAAAGGGAAGCGATTGAAGGAGACTTGAGACTGAAGGGTACTACTCTCTATCCTGTAGAGCTTTCAAGCGAGCAGAAAGTTTGGAAAAAGAGTTTTGAGAAGGGTTTGACAGAAAGCTTTGATAAGAAAGCAAGACACTTGTATTGTACGTTGAATGAGGGACAAAAGGATAGCTGCGATGTGAATGGAAAGAAAACAGGGTAAACAGAACGAAGCGGCACGGAGTCTGCATACCACAAGTCGATGTGAGCATTGTTATATACTCTTCCCAGCCTTCACGAAGACTTGAGGAATAAGTGGCAGGTAATCCAACCATGGTGTTGATGAGGACCCTGCAGGGATTGCCTACCCGAGAGTGAGCATTGTTACCACGACTGCCCAAGACAGGACCCTGATTCGCTGGTATGATATCTGCGCCAGTGAGGATGTGCCGCTACTTTGATCAATTGTGACTAGCTCCTTTAGAACGATTTCTTGTAGCGGGTTCCCCTTACCACATAACAATGAAGTGTTTGAAGAGCAAGATTAAAATCCCAACGATTGTCAACGATCTCATCAAACAAAGTCCATGTTGGTAAATAATTACTTACTGAAAAGCTGATTGGGTGATGAAACACGATGTTCAACTATAGGTGGGTCACTCCTGACACTTTGAATCAGGGATCGAAAACTTTTGAGGCATGCATTGCTAACTTCGGTGAGCTTTCCATCCGTTCAAGTATGACTGTCTGCTTTGGCGATCTTAATTATCTAGCTTAACGTTGAGTGGTAATTTGTTAATGAGTCATCAGAAAGATCGTGAGAAACCAGGAAGTCAAGCCTGAAAGAGCCGAATTCATGATCTGGAACGGAGAGATATTTACGATGCGTACAAAGTCTAATTTATGGGATTGGAAGGTCATGTGTAGTCGATACTTATGGTTTTATAGATTGTGAAAATTCATGATATCGATTGATGAGACTGGCAGTTCACCTTTTCACCCATTAAAAGATGGCTTATACATCATCAGCTTTGAAATCTTTAAGAAACTTGAATCAAACTCACTTCATTTTAACTAAACCTTCTTTAAGACATTTTACTTCAAGCCAACCTTCCAAATCATCAGATACCTCAAGTCAGGAACAAGACTCACTAGAAAGTTATGTCACTGAATTGAACGCTGCGAGCGTTTCACTCGAAGAACCCTTGTGAGTCACATCAATTCAATCAGATACCACCGAATCTACCCGATCTCTGATATTATCTGTTTTCTTTCTAGACTCTCCTCCGATGTCTCTCCAAAGCCGACGGCATCCATAGAACGTGTACCGCCCAGTCCACAATGGGCAATGCGTCTTCATCCAGAACTTTACAACCCCCCTACGCTCAGTCCTACTCACCGAATCCATGTGGCAACCCTCGCTTTCGAAGCTTATAACCCTGAAAAGGATCAACTCCCCCTCGTCACCGGTTTCGCTCTTCAGGCCGCTTATCATCTCGGCATTCCAGTCACTAAGCCTGCTTCAATGCCAATCAAAACTGAACTTCACACCGTTCTCCGATCCGGTTTCGTCCACAAAAAATCACAAGAAAACTTTTGGCGATTGACACACAGGAGGGTCATCAAAGCTTACGATGCAAATGAAGAAGTCATAAATCGATGGATCAATTATCTCAGACAAGAAGGGGTACGAGGTACAAATGTTGGGATCAAAGCTCAACGTTTTCTCTACCGAAAACAGAACTGGGGTGAAGATTTAGAACGTCTAGCTCAACAAGAAGTCGACTTAGAACAAACAGAAAAGCCAAAACTTTCGAAAAAGTCCAAGAAAACTAAAAAGGGTGTGATGGCCTCTTCCCTCAATACTCAGACCGAACCAGCGGCTACCGATCCTAATGCACTAGGCAAGATTCCCGAGGGCAAGGTTTCTTCTCAGGCAGATGAAGTCAAACGTCTGGCAGAGCAGCTAATTGAACAGGAATTAAAACCTAGAGCAGATGCGTTGGATAAGCTTTTAAAAGAGAAGGATGTAGCTAAAGGCAAAGTGTTGCAAGAATTGAAAGAAAAGCAAGAACTCAAATGACTTTATCAACTCTTCCCCACTGGCACCAGTAAGAATGATCACTGACTTGACACGTTTCCAGCATTAATCTATAAGGAGCTTAGAGCACCATGGCTCGTCAGACTTGAGAGATACGATTCATTAAATCCATTGCATCTGCAAATTTGTTGTGGAAGAAGACAACCATATCCCTAGATCGAAGCGCGTGAGTTGGCTTCCAAGCGCGTGTCAAATAGATATATATCGTGCGGAGAAAGACTGCGACACAGTGTTTGTATTCACCTCCTTTCGCACTCAGGGTGATGATGATGCCATCACTAGAGATCAGGATGATACTTGACTTACACATAGTATACCAACTTGTTGCCCTAGATAATAGTGAGCAACAGTATAGATGCTCACCAACATACATCAATGAATATTCCAAGATACATCATGGGTGATTTAAAAGTAGTGAATGAAGTACTGACAGTAAAATATTTATTAGACGATATGAGGTTGATTGGTAAGATGTAGATGATTTGACTTTAGTAAGAATGAGGGAATATCTTGACAGAATGACAAGGCAGTAGAAATGAATATCTAGTGTGTCTAAAAACAAGGGATAGGTACAACTACATATATCAAAGTTAAGAACATGGGATTGCAAAAGGAAATGGAAATTGATGGAATTCTGGGAGCTCAAGGATGGAAGAGTGGAGTTGATGTCAATTGATACCCAGTGGTTCCTCTCCTCAGAACTAGAAGGACCCCAACAGTACATCTTCAACTCAAAATGCCAGTCACAACTACATGAGAACTATCATCACTTTTGGATCATGATCATGATATGCTTGATGTGTAGGTTCATTGCACCTAGGGCTGTGACCCAGCCCTGAGTGTGACAGGGCAGACCCAGAGCATTGCCTGGCCTTGGGCAGACCCAAGGGGAGTCAGAAATCAATCAAGTCCAACCAGGTACTGGTGCAAACTTTCTGGGGCACCTCCTGGAATGATTATAAGAGCTAAAAAGGACCATAGGGGGAATTCTGGTGTTTGTTGCACATTTAAGTGTATGAAATTGTGTATAAAATTTATGTGAGCCTACTCAGAGCTTGAAAAGAGCCATGGGAGCCTACTCAGAAGGCATTTTTTTTACTATTCAACAAAAAGAATGACAGGCAGCCCACCAGAGCAGGCCACCAGAGTTCCTGCAGGGCTTTTATGACCTTTATCAAGTAGGGTTTGGTGTGTTGGGGCATGTACTGTCTGCTTCAAGAAAATCAGCAGGCACAGTCGGCCGAGTGGGACTGGGGCCAATTCACAAGCCCAATTGCACCTGTGGCACCTGTAGAGAGAAACATACCAGTTGACCATAAGTTACAAGCGCTTGCAGAGTTGATAAGACACCAATTTCCTCCGCTGGCTTTACTACAGGTATGTGCTTGGGGTTTGCAGACTAAAGTGGTGTGGTATCTTTTTTGTAAGTGCTTGTACATTATTCTTGGCTGAAAAGCCAATGCTTTGCCCCAGAGCATTGCAGATGATCTGCACACTACATACAAAGAGGTGACACCCCGGGTGTGGGGTGGCACTGACCCTGCATTGAGCCACAGCTTTTGCAAGACCCCCCCTTGTATTTTGTGCAGTGTCACCGCGCCCCCACATCTGCAGGATCAGCACTTTGCATGTAGTGGGAGCAATGCTTTACTACACCGTAAGTCCCCATGAACCAAATTTTTGAGTTTTCTGGTTTCTATCCACCCAAATGGCAGTGCACTATTCCATGATTTTTAAACAGAAAAAAAATTGAACAAATCATTCAACTTTACTTAACACAAGTCCCAATTCTTGCAGGGCTCTGTTGACCTTTGCAAGCTTGGACTTACAAGAAAATGTCTGACTAGAGATGGACTCATGTAGTTTACTTAGCAGCCAGTCCTGGCTGAACTACTACACCCTTTCACTTGCTCTATCTCACCCTTGTGTAATGAGCCATCTATAAGCATATGCTATTAGTGTAACATCCGTGCTTTAGATAGTAGTCAAAGCTCTGGAGCTGTTGTACCTTTTGATCCTCACGTTGCAATCTCTAATACTACACAACTAGTACTTCTACAAAAACAAAATTCAAAAGTAACATGAATGAGGAATTTGTAAAAGATCAAGATTTCAATGTTTTTAGTTTCTTAATTCAGGATGTTTGGGGTAAAGAAATGTAGTGAGAGTAGATTTCAAAAAGGTTTGCTAAGTATATTGTACATCAGACCTGAGGAAGAGGGTTCAGGACCACCAATAGTATACTCATTCATGGAGCCTGTCACTGTATCAGGTACAAAGCTGTGTGGTTTGGTAATGATGAGGTTTCGGAGCGGTTCAAGATAGTTGAGGGAGTTTAGCAGTATGAGACAAACTTGACAAAGTAGACATTGAGCACAATAGACACCATCAAAAAGAAGAGCCCCATAACATGAGAATCGACTTGTGCTTTCCTTGTTTCTCAACGAGAATCTCATCATTTTTATCATGTACGTAGTGAATTGTTTGCCACCTTAGGGAAAAGGTGGATTGTATGAGTTCAGCATTATCCTTGATTGGAAGGATCAGAAGCTATGTAATTACTGCAGTTCGGTCTTCCTCACCTGTCTCATCAGGCCTTTTTCCCATATCCTATAAGCATGGCAAGAACCAGAAATGATGAAAAAAGTTGGATCTCGATGCAAGAATGTAACACCCCCTTTACATTTACCGTTGCAATCAAAAAGTGTGTGATCACTTGGATTTACTTAGCCTTTAGTCCATTGATGGTGTTGCAATTACACTACAAGCCTCTCAACACGCATAAATAAATTTAACAGCATAGAACAAGTATCATCTGGACTAGATGGGTCCCTTGGTCAATTTTCATTTTGGTCAGCCTATGCAGAGAAATCACATAGTATAGCAGCAATTACATGATGGAGCTTTTAAATCCTCAACTGACTTCAACCCCCATGTGCTTGAATCTCCTTGTCCAATTTTGTGCTACAAGCCTGAGAAGAATCACCTTGACTGTCCAGATATCCAAGAAGAAAAGGTGCCCAGAAAGTGCCGGCAGGCGGGAGTGGGCCCAAGCTCTGTAACAAAACGTTTGAAGATCAGTTGAGCATCATGCCGAGATTGAAACAAATTAGAATCCTGACATACAGTACCAGCGGGGAGCACGTAATTTACACAATCTGGTTGGGTGGGTGAGACCACTGCTTGAGTGAACCTATAATTATATGCTGCGTTAATCAAATCCTGTGCGATGCTAGGAGCATTCCTGTAAAGTAGACCACTTTGTTAGAGATGCTTCAATGTATATACTTGTCACCAATATGTATACATACCCATTAATACACCCCACCGGGTTTTCAGAGCCATCGAGAGGCTTGACCTGTTGAGAAACCCATGATTCAGCGCGTTGAACCCATGGAATTTATCCAGATGGATAGCCTCTTGCACTAGGCACGACATGTAAGACTTGTCCATGGAGGAGTAACGCCGTAATAAAAGGAATCAGAAAGGGAATGGGAAGAGAAGTAGAAGACGGATGCGGAAAGGTCGAAGGCCAAGGTCAAAGCGTATTACATACGTGGTAGACTAGAGTTCGAAAACAGATCCACTCCTTGAACATGTAGAACCTTTCCACTCTTCCCCTCTGATACTCTTCAGATAATTTTCCTTAGGACCATTATCCTAAATTCCTCGAACTACAACATATTCTATTCAATTTAAAGAACTACTATTCAAGATAACTAATAATCAATTTTATTGACCACCCACCCGCCCAGCTGGTAAGTACTAGGCGACGATAAAATAACATTGTAAGTAATGAAAATTCTCGGGGGGCGTTGGAGGCAGGTGAGTTAAAGCCACCAAGGCTGTCACCGTCAACAACACCCCGTGAGAAAGAAAAAACCCAGGGCTCTGAGGAGAGAGTTCAACGGCGGAACTCTCCTCTCAGAGGCCTGACTCCCACTATTGACCTTCCCTCACCTAGCCAAGCTAGGCAAGGGAAGGATGATGTTATAAGTTTGAATGGATGCTGTGTAATGAACTCACTGTACAAGTGCAATAAATGATGCAGCCTGGTCAAGGAGCTGGAGAACTATACAGGTACTGTATAGCACTGTGTAAACACGGTTGGCAAATGTGTTGATCAGTAAGAAGTTAGAATTGATGACTTCAGGATGGGAATGCCGGTGAATGGTATGTTTCTAGCAAATTAGAGAAAGGAAAACTGACATGAAGCAATCTGCCCCATTGCCTTCTGATGATTTATATTTTGTGCTGATATAGCAGGTCATATTTGTGGTCTGTCTTTATTCAAGAATAGTAGGTTGGCGAGCCTCCTCAGATGCAAAGGATCACACCGATACTCAGCCATCTGCGTTTGCTTGACCAGAGATGAAGAACTGACCAAGAACTATAAGTGCTAAGAAATTATTTGTGTTTTGTGATAAAGATGGACAATTGAGCATAGATTTGTAATAAGAGGTTATATTCGGCTCATGGGAGGAATATCAGCTGGAAGAGGGCACTGTTTTATATTAAGTAACTTTTGCAAGGGATTTCATAAGTTTGAACAATGTCACAACCAGATGGAGTGTGCGTTGCGGGAAGAAATAGACGTCAGTTTAACTGAACCAAGTCCCACGGTACTTTGCAAACAGCTTGTTTGGTGTGCAAGACACGGCATGAAACCTTGTTGAGTTCTGCTTGGCCAAGTTTTGTCACTCTCACAAGTTGTCAGGCGCGACCGAAGCGGGTGAAAAGTATGATTCACTTAAATAGATGTCATGACCTCAAGATGAGAGATGCTGTGAGTCCAAAAGGACTTGCCTGTCAGTCAAGGGGGACTCGAGGGGACCATGGGAAGCACCAGGTGAAGAACCCGTCCTAGAACCATCAAGAACATTGTAGAACTTATAACCCAACAAGGGTTATTGTAATGTCGTTGAAGACTCCATTACAAGCATATTACAAACCACTATTCTTATACATATTCAGTTGTTCTTTTTATTATCACTCACCTCGCAGAAGACTAACTCCTCAGGGAACTTAGACTGATCTAGTTCATTATCCTTTTGGAGTTAGTAATACCACAGTTAGGTTCTAGAAATCAGTCGAGATCACTAAAGTGATACTCAGTTCCCTCATTCCCGTGCCTGTTCGAATCATTCACGTTAAGATTAGTGAGGACTTCAGAGGTCCTTTACAGTTATACAGAGCTGGAAGAGGATAATCTACTAATAAAATGACTAGTAGAAGTTGTCTAAGACTGCTCTTCTAAAACAACACAATCAGGAAAAGGCTCTGTTGTATTGAGTACAGATAAGGCACCAGAGAAATATATCTTTCACACGTAATTTAACTTCAAAAGCACAATTTTTATTACTATCAACACTGCTATAGTGTTATTCCCAAATGATAACTGAAGAAAAATAAGCAATATCTTAATGATATTATTCCCAATGAGTCTCTTTGACTATAATACTAAAGTAAATTTCTCTTTATAGCTATAATAAAGGGCGTATTTAAGTGACCAGGTACTATTAAAATAAGTTTATAATGATAAAAAAAATAATAACTGCGTAAATGATAAAGAAAAAAGGGGAAAAACAATCCCAAAGTCCTCTCAAATTATATATAACAATGTACTCCAACTTTTACAATGGTCAACAACCTCAAAACCAATCAAATCCGCCCAGAAATCCCTAAAAACCCTATGATGACGCAATGTAATGATTTTGTTACTAATAAATGATGTATTTTTCACAGCCAAAAGTGATCAATGACGCAATAACATGATGTACAGCACTTCTTATGATGAATACAGGTGATTTTTTCCTTGTAAACTAGCTGAAAACCAAATTTTGAGATTACGAATTTTTTCAGATGTGCTCCAATTTTTGATTACTAAAGTGCATCTTGTAGCCCTCGTGTTACTGATCATTTATGACACCCATATGACCTATTTCTGATGAGTGATGAGTAAGATATTGAGTTGTGAAGTTAAGGTTTTTAGCATTACATGTTGACTTGTGACTGTAAATTCGAGATTCACACCAATTCCTTATTTGCCTTATAACTTTTTACATAAACCTCCGCTACTAATGATTGAAAGTTTTTACATTATGTAATCCACTCTTCTGCGTTGAATGAGCTATCTACCAGCCTAATCTGACATCATTTGACATATGTAATGAGCTGAAAACCTTCATTTCTGACGAAATTCACCCATTTTCTTCACTTTTCACAGCTGCTACTCTCTTTTTCTTGCTCATGTAATATGACATCATCTTCTATAACCTTAAAAATCCCGGAAAATCCTCTTGGCAACCTTAAATTCCACTATTACCACTATTACATAACCAAACTACACGTGTACCTCTTGTTTACCAACTTCAAAAAAGTACCTTTTCTCTAATAACTTCTGTTTCTTCTTATCCACCCTCAAGATTAAAATTGTCACAGTATAATATAATGTTGTTCTTTCATATTCTAACCTCATAATACCCATAACTTTATTTTTACTACCCTAAAAACCATTTTCCAACCTATGTACCTATATTTTTGAATTTTTCTTACGTTTTTCTTTCTTTCTTTTTGTAATGAGTTTGTGAATGAACTCTAATGATATTAATAAGTAATGTGAAATGAAATGATGTAATGTTAACCCTATGACCAATACATAAGCCTATAAGAGCTTCAATTGATCCAAAAACCTCCATTTCAAATTTTTCTGTCCTGCTAAATCTTTCTAATAAACTGGTAAACTACTAAATATGAATTTTTTGATTGATCCCTTAAATTGATCACCACAATGTGTAAATTGCTAAGAACACACTGTTTACCTGATAATGTTGTGCTACCCATAAGCACGCTTCTCCACAACCACAAGTATGCAGACTTGGATCAAAGGTCCACTAATCTAAGTTTTGGGAGGGATAAGTTGAAAGTTCCAAAGGTTGTTAGATATGAAGAAAGCTTTAAGCGGATCTGTACTAGTAGGATTTCTCTTTCCAACAGATGAGATTGTATTACTAGCTAACATGATAATGTTGTGCTACGTATAAGCACCCTTCTCCACAACAACAGTATGCAGATTGGGGTAAAAGGTAAACCAACCTAGAGAAACAGACAATGAAAGATAAAAGCACCACAACACAAGTTAGAGGAAGAAGTAATATAATATCAGAGCCAATTTATGAGTAACTAGTTTTGCAAGGGATAAGTTGAAAGTGAGAAAGATTATTAGATATGAAGAAAGCTTCAAGTTGAAGCTGATTTGTAGGAGTCCAACAATATTTGAGATATTAGTATATTGGCAAAATTGAAAGGGTATGAAAGTAGTCACTCTCTTTCCAGAAGATGAGGAAAGAGAGCAATCAGCCAACGGAGATACATATTTTGACAAAAACCTTGGAAATGATGAGCGCCTACCTAACTTAAGGTACGTTTGGTTGGGATTATGAGTTGTAATCTCAATCTGACCTCCGGTACATTGCCCTGGGGTGATTGAGATTTTTGTGAAATTTGAGATTCTTCCAAATAATCTCCATTACCAGGACATTTGTGAATTTTACGTTTGGTAGAAATTCCAAACTATCTTCATCTTCATCTCCAAACATTCAAAATGTCAACTGTAAGAGGTTCTGCAGAGCAGAACCCCTACCTAGTTGACAAAGATACAAACAAATGGTTGAACCATTATCAGAAAACAGACTTATAAAAAAGAAAAAACCTACATCGCTATCACTCAGTGTCAAGAGTGTATAACTTAGAATAAAAGACTTTTTACATTAAATTAACATACTAAAACTATACTTAATAAGTTATGTTTAACAAAACATTGTCCAAGTAAAAGTGAGGTTAGTAACCAAAAGAGTAGTTATCGAAACAACTAAGAAACAAAAGATAAGGGTCCGGTCAATTAAACAAACCCTGACCAGGCAAACCCTTAACTACAACTATCATCAGCATATTTAACTGGACTAGGCAGCAACAATCATATGATGTAATCAAACCCTGAAAGTTCATCAAGAGAACACTCGCTGAACCAGGTATATAAAATATGAGCCTACTTCAAAGGAATGGAAAATCATCTTTTTACCACGCACAAATTTAAAACCACCTTTTCAAACAAACGCACTGTTTTAGAAAGATCCACTTCGTATTATTCCTTTTTCACTCATCTGTCCAAGACTTACAGTTATACATTAGAAACTTACTTACTAGCTTCTTTCGTATCAAACTCGCGTCTTGGCCAGACCTCTTTTTCTCTTTTTCACCTTCATCTTATATCCCCCTCAGGACGTTAAAGATCGTGATAGTACTGAATATCTTCGACTAAAGTTCCTAAAAATTATCCTCTATTTTTGATAAAGAATTGTTTTATCAAACTAACGCTGAAGCGTCATCCTAAGGCACTGCTTACGTCTAAACAACGTATTCTCCTTGGAAGGTAGTAAAAGTGATTGCACTTTTATCTTCAGAACTGGCAGCGGTTTTATTCCGCACCTAAGACAGTTATAACTAACAACTATAACTACTTTTAATTACTCACGAAGAATTTGAAAAATAATCTCCCTCTAGTTTCAAGAAATCTTGATTAAAACTAGAAAGAATACA